GAAAGGGAAGTGGTATTCTGGAGGGGCGGGGTTTGTGTGGCTGATGGGTCCTCAGTGCCCCTGCTCCCAGTTGTAACTCTGGGACATTGGGTAGTGGGAGAGGGTTCTTACCCGCTGCTCTGAGTGCAGTGGCTCCTCTAGGATGGCTCATGATATGGTGTCTCCACAGGAACAGACCCACTAGGTGTCTGCTGCAGCCAAAAGGCACAAGTATCCATTCTACTATCTCTTTTTTTTTTGGTGATTTATTATGTGTTTAAATGACAAGTCTATGTGCATTCCATTAGTCCATGCTTAGTCATTGGATTTTAATTTTTTAAGTATAAATTATAAATTTGATTAGACTCTTATTTATTGAGAAATTATGTGTTTGCTGATTTTCCATACAATTTATTTTTTGACTTATGCATTTTGGTTATATATCATTAATGTATGTAGAATAGAGATATATTTTAAGTATTCATACATGAATACTATATTTACATAACTTTCCCCCATATTTCTTCCTCAGCTCCTTTCATGTTCCCTCATTCTCTCTTAAATGTATTACTTTTTTCCTTAATTGTACATACACATACAATGTACCCTCCCACACATATATAAATCACTGAATCTATATAGTGTTGCTCGAATATGTTTGTGTGTGTGTGTGTGTGTGTGTGTGTGTGTGTGTGTTAAGTGTTGACCACTTGAGAGCAGATAACCTATCAGGTGCCTTATTCCTGAACAAAAAGTATGAAAAAAAACTCAATATAATGGAAATATCTCCCATACTCATGGATAGCAGAATTTATACTGTAATAATGACAGTCAAACTCAAATCATTCTATGGATTCAATGTATTCCTAATCAAAGTCACCAGACATTTTTCATAGAATTAGATTTAAAAAATCCTAAAATTCATACTGAACCACACAAAACCCCAAAAAGCCAATGCCATGCCAAACAACATGACCAATGCTGGAAGGATTAGCATTCCAGATTTCCAGCTCTATTATTTCTAATAGAATAATCAAGGAATGCCTCTGATGTAGTGGCTTCAAGGGGCTTGTGCTTTCCATTTGAGATGTTCCTTTTAAAAATATAGAATGATACTTTATTGAAAGGCAAAAGTGTTTATCACATAGTCCATCTTCTGTGTATTGTATATTTTTGATCATTATCAGTATCATCTCACTCGTACTGTCTTCTGAGCGATACTGTAATCTCTTCTATGTTTTATTCAATTTCCCTATTTTCATAGACTTGAAACACTTGTTTTCCTTATTTTTTCTAATTTATATCCTTTCAATTACATTCATGAGTGATTACCTTAAATATTAGCATATATACTTGACAATCGAATGATGTTTTTATGTCTCCACTCTCCTTCCAAATCTTAAAGACTATATGTATTACCTCTATGTAAGTCATTCTAATTAGTTTTTCTACCTTGTTTCTTAGCCATTATTAGCCATTTTTTAAGCTTATACATTTGACAGTACTGATGCTTGCCATTCCATGTTACATAATCATAAGAGTTTGACTTAACACTAAAGGGAGATCTTCTTTTAGAAGTCATTTTAAGAGTGTTTATTTAATCATTTACTTATAATTGTGCATAGAGAGCATAGGTTGAGTTAGGTAGATGTTAAAGAAATTGCAGTGACCAGAAAATAAATCTGTACCAGAATGGAATTTCCAGCTTGTCGGAATGAAAGAAAGAGTAAACAAAGACATATTTGTCAGTGCTCTGAAGAAGAAAAGTAACAGATGTTCAAGAAAGGAGGTTTACTATTTGTTCATGGTAAAATGATCAAAGACTGTCTCTTTACTCTATCATTCAATGAGACCCAATTCTCCAAATGCTGTGGGGAAACCAGCCGTAAGAAAAGCTAGAGTTAGAATGTCACTTGAGTACTAAATTATCTATCTTACTGTACTTGTGTAGAATCATCTTTATGCTGACCTAGATCTATCAGCTATAGAATCCAGGCACAACAGTTTTCCCCCAGCTGGCATTTTCAAGATATATTTTCATTCTTTTTGTATTCTCATTACCTTGAAGAAATCTGATGTCAATCAAATTTGGCTACCTCTTTGTAGGTAATATGTCTTTTCAGTTTTGTTCATGTGATCTGCTTTTTGGTATTCTTTGAGACTGCTCTGTGTGTGCTAGATTTTCTTGGCTCTACTTTAATTTATTGACTTTGCAGTTCATTATGGTTCATCAATCTCAGAATTCATCTATTTCAACAGTTCTAGAAAAGTTCATTATTATATTGCAAATTGTTCCTCCCTCACTTTCTCTATTCTCATGTTTCAAATCTTCACAACCATGAACCTTTCCCTTTTATCCATGTTAAAATGTTAGGAAAGGATTTAGCCTCTTATTTGCCACTATTTATCTGTCTGAAATGTAAATGGAGCAGGTTTTCCTCATATGTACACTAGTTCATTAATCTCTCTTCAGTAATATCACATCTACTACCAATTAAAGTTTTATTCTAGTCACTCTTTCTTCTATAATATGTCTTTTCAAAACTGTTTTTTTTTTAAATTTCTGTCCTTCCCTTTAATCTTTGTGATTTTTAAGAGCACATCTTTCTTAACCTCTGTTTGGTAATTATATTGCATGAAGTCTTTGGAGTGAGTCTAATTTTGCTATATGCTGTAGCAGATACTGACCATTGTCTTAGGTGGGTTTTTTTTTGCACATTACAATATTCTTTTTATCGAGAATTCATATATAGTGTTCCGTTTTTTTTCTCAACTTTAAAGTTTTAGATTAAGGAATCAATGTCTATTAATTTTAATATCAATTCAAGATTAGATGAAGCTGAATTTCAATAGAAATACCTTTTTTTTCCCTTTTGAATTTTTGTGCCATGGGCTGATTCTGCCTCACTAATTTTATCTAGTTCACCCCTTTTGCTTAGGTTGGAGCATTTCAAGATTGTAGCTCTATATGGGAGTATAGTTCTTGTTTACAGACAGGCAAAGTCCCAGTTTATACTTGTTGTCCTAATTATTTATAAAGCCTCTGGACTCTCTCAAAGGTGTTCCAGTTCAGGCAACAATTGTAGGATCTTCCCAATCTTTGGTAGGGATGTGAATGGGATGCTGGGGGCATAAAAGGACGAGTCTGTTTAATGTATAGAAATCTCAAACATGAAGGCAACAATGTATGTCAGGGAAAAGTTTATTCAAACTACGATTGGAAGCAGTTAGTGGCTTAGATCTTCACATACTTTTAGCTGCTATTTCATTGTTTAACATGTCTAGCTAAAGATGTTTCTGTGCTTTCTGACTCTTTTTAGTTTAATTTCAATTTTATTTAGAATTTTTAAAAATCAAAAACTTAGTTAAAAAATATTTAGTAAAACTATATGTAGTACTCTGCCAGTTACCAATCAAATATAACTTATGTAATAATTTTAAAAAGCACAATTTAAAGTTTTGATAAAATTTAATACAAAACACATAAAGTCTATGATGTATCTTTTAATAATCAAAGTGATTTGTAAAATCCATTAGTCTTTAAATGTTTAACTTTCTTCCAACTTTTGGTTCTTATGCTTTATGAATATCTGTAAGGTATTCTTATTGGCACCCTCATTGTATGTGAATATTTTTTTCTTCTTTTCAACTGTAGTGATTTTTTTCTTTTAAAAAAAAGTTTTATTTTTTAGAATCATTTTTCAAAAAAAAAATACAATAAGATAAAACAAAACCAATCACATCAATGTTGGACAGAAATAAAAAAGCCCCAAGAGTCAGACTCCCATTTGTTTATACACTCAGGAATCCCATAAAAACACTGAATTAGAAGCCTTAATATACATGCAGAGGATCTGGTATAGACCTGTGCAAGGTGTCTCATGAGCCTCATTCTCCTGATATCCTCCATCTTCTCCTCTTTTCTACTAGGTTCCTTGAGCTCTGAGAGGAAAAGGAATTTCCGTTTTAACTTGGTTTTTAACTAAAACCAATCAAGGTTTTGGTTAGTCTGTAATTAGATGTAGGGGCTTACATTTTTTCAGTGGGTCTCTTGCTTTAAAAAACTGACCAGCAGTTGTAGGTCATGTTTGTGGTCTGAACTTTTGCTGTGACACACTAAGTTAGTAAGATTCTAGTTTTGTCAGCTGAGTCCTGATAGCTTGAGAAAAATTTCCATTTAAACAGCAGCAAACTCACAAACATCACCCAGCATATTTGTTTGAGTTAGTAGAGGACTGCCCTATTTTTTAACTCCCACCACCCTTTTTTAACAGAAACACATATTTTGGGATAGTTCAACTTTCTTCTAGGATTTGAAGTAGATGAACACTCATATTTGGGGGCCCATCCCTTCTATGGCACTATTGCTTCCAGGAGTATAACAGCCAGTATTCTAGATTTTTCTGCCATCTTGACCAATAATGTTGCATATGCTAGGAGAATTACCGATTTGAAGGTCATGTTCAGGAAAGAAATTTAAAAAAAAAATAGAAAAAAAAAGAGAAAGAAATGGCTTCCTGGGTAAATAGATCACTTTATATGCACGAGGAAGTATTTGGATCTCCTGAACACAAATAAAAATCTGGAGCTCAAATTCAGAAGAAATCTGTATTAAAGTATATGTTTTGCTTTCATGGTGACAGTTGTAATGACCTCTAATGTTCATATGAAATCATCATAAATAAAGACAAAGAGGATTTTTTTTAACACTAGAGATGTCATAGCACAGAGAAGAAAAGTCTTTTGCTCAGCTTGTATTATACATAGGTAGGGGCTTACTTTTTAAATAAAATATGTGTTAGACATATGGTTAGATATATGTTTCATCTGTAATTCGTTAATATGGCAATAGTTTTCAGTCATTATAATTTGTTATACTCACCAGTAAGTACTTCTAATAGATTCCTCTTCTCTACCACAGGAAAGATTTCAGTTAAGATTTGCTAAGGGCATTGTTTATTCTCATCAGAATCGTATGAAAACATTGTTTTGTTCTTTCTTGCTTGCTCTCTCTGTTCTAGGAGTATACTATTGATGTATTTTTTAGACAAACATGGCATGATGAAAGACTGAAATTTGATGGACCAATGAAGATCCTTCCACTGAATAATCTTCTGGCTAGTAAGATATGGACTCCTGATACCTTCTTCCACAATGGTAAAAAATCAGTGGCTCACAATATGACCACACCCAACAAACTTCTCAGACTGGTAGACAATGGGACCCTCCTCTATACAATGAGGTAAGAGAGTGATAACCCTCATGCAGAATATAGTGGAGCTAGGACTTAAATTGGAAGTTGCGGGTTTTAGATTATACACTGAAAATTCCTTTGGTTTATCACAATTAAATACTTTCTTTCATAACAGTCAGTGTCTCTTTGCAGCAATAGAACATTGACTAAGAAAAAATGTCATGGCATTTTGACGTCAAAAAGACTAATTTTGGAAGCATTTGTAATATAATATTCTTTGCTCTAACAAAGAAACTTTCTTGGTTCTTGTTCTTACTTTTTATATTTTTTGATAGCTTTACTGTTATGAGTTTATACTTCCTGAACCTTGTGCCAATATTGTTATTATAACTTTTGAGTTATTGAGATAGCCTGTATCTAACAGGTAAATGTAAACCTTCGATTATAGGTTCATCCAGAATTATAAACTGCTATTACAGTAGTCCAAGTGGATCCTTTTACCATATAAGCTGGCAACAGACCTTTATAGTTTATATTTGATGCTACTTTATAGGCATGAAGAACATAAAAGTCATGGGATCATGCAGGCTTCACCTAAGATTTCAAAGGAAAGACAAGGAAGCCAGGATACAAATAGCAAGATAAATTCCCTGGGAGCAACCCTGAGAGGGAGTTATGTGTATCTGTGAGAGTGAAACTGAAAATGCAGAAATTTAGACATGCCAAGAAATGCAATGTCTGCCAAGGAAAATTGCTGGAAATGACTAGATCCAGACCAAAATAACCATATAGGCTGTAACTGGAGAGCTCATAAGATTCACAGCTGCCTAAGTCCTTTCTGGTCTTGGAATTCTAAACACAGAGATATAGAATTTAATGCATTCCCTACTGTATTTTGGTCTTTTCATTTGCCAAATCCCTCCTGTCCATGTTTCTATTCCTCCTGTTTTAAAATAAGGATGTTTAATATGTGTCATTTTACATTGGAAATTTTTTTATCTTAAAGGGGGTCAGAGATAAGAGTTTGTCTCAAGTATCAGTAAAGAGTTTTGTCTTTTCCTCAGTGTTCAAACTTAAGGGAAATATTAATGTAGTTTTGATGAAATAGAAATGTATAGTGTTAGATGGAATTATATACGATCTTGCCATAACTTTATTCAGAAGTTACATATCGCTTGAGGAAATATGTTTGAGGATCAAAGTTAATAAGCATGTATTTGTGTTGAATAATCTTGATTGCTATCTGTGTGGGCCAAGTATTTTTCAAAAAATGAAATAAGCCAAATATTGGCAGCAACAATCCATAAAATGGGGATGGAATTTTTATAGACTCTGTATATATTGATAGATATGTAAAAGATTTGATAGTTTTAAAAAGACAACAATTAACAGTAGAACACTGCAGTAGCAAGGGCTCTTTATAATCACCAGCATCTATATCACAGGAATGCAGTTCTTGAAGTTTCATAATCTTCATAACTACCTTAAGGCCAAGGGACAATTATTTCCAACTTAGAGATGAAGAAACTGAGAAAAATGGTGGAAAGAAAACAGGGGGTATATAATGTCTGTACAGTAGTAAAAGGTCAGATTCTATTTGGTGTAACTGGAGAGTCTAGCACATATTTGTCAGATAGCAAAAAAAAGAGTACATAGAAAGATAAACTCTGAAGACAGTACAGAAATAACATTTTTATGACAGAGAAAAGCATAAGGGTTGGCATCAAAACTACAGTTAGAGTCTTTTTTTCACCATATGTAAAAATATGTATGCTTGAAAGGAGGCAGAGAGAATTGTCCCGCGCAATAATCTCGCCAGCAAGAATGCACGCAGACACCAGGGTCCTTCTGCAGCAAAACTTTTATTGTGATGTGTAGAGGAAGACCCCGGGCCCCGAGAAGGTGCCTCTTAAATACCCCCTGGAGCGGCATGTACATTTCTGGTTGGCTGCTTGCTCAGGAGCGCATATACGCCCCAGGATGGGCCGTGACTTGGCGTGCATTTTCCCTTGCACAAAGGCAGAAAATCTATAAACTTGTGAGAGCATCGGATGCCAGCGCCATCACTGCTCACCGCAGCTCTCCACATCTCCCCCTTTTTGTTTTAATAAGAATCACAGGCACTGGCCAATGCCCCGTGTCTTAGGCTAGCTGACGTGAATCCATAACCAGCACCAATGAAAGGTGAGTTCCCTGTCTTAGGCAGCGAGGGTTGCGCACCCACACCTGGCATTCTCTGAATGTGCGCCCCAGGTTGTGGCCACTCGCAAGGCCCGTTATGGGGTGGACTCACAGCTAGTGGTGTGCTTCTGGCTTATGGCGTCAACCTATTCCCGTCATTGGGACCAATGGCAGCTGGCCTGAGAAAAATTATGGCAGCTCGACTCATTCTCTCTTGTGCAATGGGACTGAGCCCCAAGAGGTGCAAGAACTGAAGTTCGAGGCTGCTATTCCTTCAGCAACAGGTTCATCTAAACCTGGGGAGATGTGTCTTTTGTTTTATTAAGATGGAGCTGCCCTTGGCCTGTCTGGTGCGGTACCAATCATGACTCAAACTCAAGCCCGATCAAGCAAATTCCATCTTGGGGGAATAAGCGATCAAGGACTGATAGTTAAATACAGTCTCCCCTACCCTACCAGGTGCAATGGAAACAAGTCCTCTGGGTGCAAGGGCTAAGGGAGACAGAAAGAGATGCAAACACCCGTCCCTGTGCAATGGAGCCATTTCCCAGGGGTGCAAGGGCTGTTTGCCTCAATATTCAGGTACCAGAGCTACACAGACAAGGGCCAGCCAGGCCAAGACTCCTCACCGACCCAGTGCAATGGGCTGAACCCTTGGGGTGCAACGGTTGAGGGATCTGTTTGCTGGCTATTTCCTTAACATAGGCTACCAGATTTCGGGAGATGAACCTTGTTCTAGGGCTGCAAGTGCTTGGGCAATAACGACCTTGTCACGTTTCTGTTGAGCTCTGAGCTTGCAAACCAACCAAAGCATGAACACTAATCCACAACACAGGGCTGTACCAAACAGGCCTACTCCCACCCACTCTTTAAAGAAAGAGAAGGCCGAAGAGATCCAGGAGGAGAGTCCTTCAGTCAGTGAAAGGTTCACACGCATTGAGTTGATGGCCGCCACTGCTGCTCGCAACTTCTCGAGAAGTTCATCAAATCCTTCTGACCATTCTCCTGCTAGGTAACGAGACAATTGTCTGGACAAATTAGCTGCTCGAGTAAAGTTTTCATATTGAACACTAGTAATACAGAGGGCTCCCAGATTTCTTTCACATCCCAATTGTGCCAGTTGACAGAGAATATCTAACCTTTCTTCTACCAAGTCTAGGAGCTGATTAACAATCATCAATCCGCCTTTCAATTCAGCACTAGTAGAAGTATGGATGTTGACCGCCTCTGCCACTGTAGTGGATAGCTGATTTAAAGCTGCATCTGTTTGGACTTTGGTTGCCATAGCAATCCCAGCAGCTGTAGCTGCAATGGCACTAACTGATATCCCCGTCACTATGGCTGCAGTTATACCAAAGTCTCTTTTTTGTCTGAATAATGATAGAGTAGAGGGGGTTTCAACAGGAACAGGGACCCATCGTGGCACCCTGGCAACCATGGCACGCTTAGCTTGTCCAACAGCCCAACACTGAGACATCATGCATGAATCATTAGTGCAGTTTTCAAATGAGGAATTTGAAAGAATAAACAGGAATGGGGGAAAGACACACACTGGGGTAGGTGAAAATACCGTTTGATTTACAATAATCTTGCTAACTCCAGTAATTAACTGAGTAGCATTTGTCAACTGAGGGGCCTGATCTGAACTCTGCTTCACCATAGTTCCATTAATAACTCCCGTAAAGGATGCCCTTCCTTCCGCTCCGCTCTGGAGAAAGGCTAGGGAGTTGAGGTCGGTACAACTGCCATTAATCCCACAAAGTAGCCATTTGTGGAAGGGATTCATACTAATGCCCTGTAGAAAAGGGCCCTCTCTCATCACCGCGTCAGCTCCAGGATCCACCAACATATTGGGTGAAAAGGAAAAGGTTTCATTGGTATCTGCCCATCGTGTTACTCTGGATTGACAATCAGACCAGGGCAGAACAACTCCCTCATCTTCTTGACTACAAAAGGGGGAGACCTTAGGTTGACGGGGATGCTTCCCATCAGTAAGGTTGGGTGATAAAAATGTTCCATTTATCCAAATGGCCGGTTGCAAAAAGGACTGTGAGAACTCATTGCCATAACTATTATCCTTTTCATTATTATTCTTTTTAGTTGTTAATTTAACCCAGCTTCTCTTGTCATAAAACCACCCCAAGGCTCTTTTCAAGAGAGTTATACAGTTTCCTGTCTCAGTAATCTGAAAGCAGAGAGAGCCCCATTCAGGCAAGGAGCGATTTTCCCCCAGGGGGGCGTGGGTTTTATCATAGGGAAGATAAGGCAGCCCTATGGTTTTATTAGTTGTAAGAAATCTTGGAAACACCACGGCATCATGTCTAACAGGTATGGGTTTAGGAAAAGCAGATAATATAGCCCATCGTTGTTCCCCCATATACTAGGAACCCAAATCTGGAGGATCCAAATTAGGACTGGAAACATCTGCAGACGAATCCTTCGGGGGGTCATCTTCAGTTGCCACGAGCCTTCACGTCAGTCGCTCTGGTAGCCAAAATGGATTGTCTTCTTCCTGTGGAAAAACACAAACAGCTCCCCTGGATCTTATTAAAATAGGATCCGGGCCTTTCCATTGTCCGGTCAAGACATCCTTCCACTTGACCATCTCCTTTGGCCTATCAGGCTCTAAGCAATGATGGTCAGCAGCCGAATGGACCTGAGTGTCCAAATTTAAAAAATTAAGAGTAAAGAGTGCTATAGAAATGGTTACTCGTGGCACTGAGGGTAGAGCCTCCTCGACTCCCCCTTTTTGTTTTATTAGGTAAGATTTTAGAGTGCGATGAGCCCGTTCTATGATGCCTTGTCCTTGAGGATTGTATGGAAGGCCCGTCAGGTGGGTCACCTCCATTTGGCGACAAAATTGTCCA